TCGATTGTCCCCAACCGGTGTTTTGTTCACTACAATATCTCCCAATAGACCTGGTTGAACTCCACCGGTTACTGCTTCTCACTAAAACTCCAGGAAATACCTCATTAAATTTAACTTAAATAATTTTATTCAGTTAGGGTCAGTTTATGTAATCTGTCATCATGTGGTGTATGCAACTTACGTCTACAGATATAAGTAGTATGTAACACTAATCAGAAGTGGAATGTCTGTCAAAAGAATGGTGGGAAGTTTTAATTGAGGAGAACAATAATGTAAACAGAGAGTAATTGTAATAACAATAGTGTAGTGAACAGAATACCGGTTGGGGACAATCGAATGTATTTAAGCAAACATTACAGACTATCTCAGTAAATTCTGATAACCAAACAATGAACAGTCAATTTGCAAATTAACAACCAATTGTTTCAATCTTCACTGTTTCTTCTCTTATTCCATTGCTCATGCATTTTCCAAACGATTGCACTTCATTTCAGTTCTTTCGTCATCGGTCTTCTGCCAAAATACATTCTACGTCTGACCCACACCATATACTACTTATATGGATATAAGTAGATCACACCACAATAGGAATAAAGGAATAATAAAGTTTGTAAGAGACAATTGATTGAAGATGTGCAAATGAAGTATTTAACGTTTGATTTTCTTCATTTAAGTAAACCTCTGTGTAATTGTGCGTACAATAATGGATTGGTTTTTCCCACCTTATTTTCGTCCACTGCTATTAAACTGAAGTTTGATTAGTCTATTTTGGATAAAAATAAAATATTGATCTACTGTCTTATGGATTACATTTGGGTTGGGTTTTATAAATCCATGGATGGTCATTCATAACATCAAGCCTGTAATGTGATAAGTTTATGATAAGCTCGATCACTTAAACAGTCTTATTCGTGTAAATGTATTAATCAATCTTCTAGTGGTACAACCAGCAAATGTACGATGCTTTGTCTAAAACAGTGTCAATCATTTCATGATCGACTATTAGTAATAAGTGGAAGAGTTAAACTGGAAGAGGTGGAAACATTCAAGTACCTGGGGAGCATCGTTGATAAACAAGGAGGATCGGATGCAGATGTAAAGGCGAGGATCGGCAAAGCAAGGGCAGCATTTCTACAATTGAAGAACATATGGAACTCAAAACAACTCTCAACCAATTTCAAGGTCAGAATCTTTAATACGAACGTCAAGACAGTCGTACTGTATGGAGCTGAAACGTGGAGAACTACTACGGCCATCATCAGGAAGGTACAAGTATTTATAAACAGTTGTCTACGCAAAATACTCAACATCCATTGGCCGGATACTATCAGCAACAGCGTTTTATGAGAGAGGACAAACCAGCTTCCAGCTGAAGAGGAAATTAGGAAAAGACGTTGGAAGTGGATCGGACATACATTAAGGATATCACCAATGTGCACCACGACTCAATCCCTAACTTGGAATCCGGAAGGGAGGCAGAAAAGAGGAAGGCCAAAGAACACACTACGCCGGGAAATAGAAGCCGATATGAAAAGGATGAATAGCAACTGGAAAGAACTGGAAAGGAAGGCTCAGGACGAAGCTGGATGGAGAACGCTGGTGAGCGGCCTATGCTCCTCGACGAGGGGTAACAGGCGTAAGTAAGTAAGGAAGGAAGAGTTAAAAAAAGTAGCTAGTTAAAAACAGGTATATAATTAGAAAACGATCTACAATAAAAATTTATTTGAAAACAGTCTTTCCTATGCAATCATAACAACATACCTTCGACTGCAGTAAATCTACACAATATGACTACGTAGCAGTGCTCTCAGAAGTTAATAGCATAAAGATGACACTTCAGACGTTCTAGTGAGTAGCGTGAAAGGTGGAGTTCTCGTAAATCAAGTGTAAAACAATAGCTTACTGATGATTTTAAATAACGAGTTGGCTATTTTTCAAAATATTCTTTTAGCTCAATGACAGAGTGCGCTCTAATAAATCTGATTATTTTACTGATCTAACGTATAAATTTATGGTTGTTGAATATATTTTCAACAAATGGTGAATCCAATAATACTATTGATTTCTTAACTTTTTGAATGCTAGGCTTTTAATCCTGAAGTACTGGTGGAAAGTTGTCAGCAATCGAGCACAGAAATATCTGTACATATACAGATGTCATCAATTTCGTAGAATGACTGTCAGGTCATCCTGACTAAATTGAACTTGGAAATGTATACGACTTGAGCCTAGCCTAACAATTCTAATTATTAATCACTAATGTGAACAGAGGGGAGAGAAGCCTTGACAAAAATGAAAACTATTTTTGCCGACTTTATTTCATTTTATTAAAATCTTGTTAAATGTCAACATGGAGTTTTGTCCCTAGTTCATTCTACAAACCATAAGCTTTCGTTTGATGTATGATTCACTGTCAAAGCCTTTTCTGTTCCGAAGCTATTCTAGTTTAGACGTAATCTTTTGTAATTTAATAGGACCGACAGGTCCTGGTTTTTAATCTTGAGAGGCGGGATCGTGGATGCGCATTGCTGAAGAGTCACATACTAGGATGAAATGGCCATCCAGTGCTTCCAGGTTTTCCAAAGTGATCTTGCTCTAATGGACTCATGAACTCAACTATTAAATTACTATAATATCCACAAAAACCCCTTTCTGATTGTAATCTTTTGTACTCTATTTCCTTACTTTAACCCCTAGTTTTGGACGTAGTTGTAATTTCCTTACTGTTTGTGCGTTATGGTCTTGTTAAGTATCTATTTATTTATATTTCTTTTTACACTAATCTAAATAAGAACCAGATGGGAGTGTTAATCGAAATCGGGAATAAATTGAGTAGTGTTCCAGTTAGTTCGTCTTCTCTCTCGAGCGCGCTTAACTGTCAATCAGGGGATAGAATAGTTTTTAATCTCTTTGTCCCAAGTAGTTGGTCTCACTTTGGACTTAGGCATACAATCCTACAGGTTAAACCAGTCAATCACCTTGTCAAGGCTTTAACCTAGATTGAGATAACCTATCTTTCGCATATTAATGAGTAGACACATCAAGGACATAACAATCGGAAACCGCAATGTTAGAAGATCTAAGTCTCAACCAACAGTAGGACTGTGGGTACATATTACACCAAGGCTCTATATTAAGATGAAACTGTCATACAATGCATCCTATCTTCCATTATCTGTCTAAATAATGTTAATCTATGACACGAAACTACAGAAAATCATATTTTTAACTGCTTAGTATTAGTCATAATAATTATCAAATTTTTCCCTTAAAGCAAAAGTTTACAATACATAAAAGAAAAACAAACAAGCGAACACACAGAAAAAATATTTAGTATTGTTTGTTTGGATCTTCCCATTGATGTTTAGGACTGTTACTAGCCAGTCTCTAATTTTTCTTATGTGCATAATGTGTGTATTGCCTCGATATAGCCTCAATTTACAGGCTTACGAGTGCCAAGTAGCACGAAACCCGGGTAACGTCTCTGACTGTAAAGCTCAGTGACACGCGGTCGAATCCGTCAGGGAGCACCACTTCCCTCAAGATTACTGGTACACCTTGCTGACGAGTACCAAGTAGCACGAAACTCAGGTCCAGGGTTTTCCGTTGACCACCTCCAACCACCATCTTATCTCAACATAGTGCACACAGTGTCGAGCCGCCTAGACTAGTGGCCACATTGCAACTTGATCGATAGCATTTGATCAGCACTAAGAAGGACTTGACATGCATGACATTGATCACCACCCGGTGATCAATCAGTTGTGACAAGCATTATAAGCAAAGATGGATAGTGGCCGATAAGAGACTGATCAATTTCAGTCCTAAACATCAATGAGAAAATTCAAACAAACAATACCAAGTGAATTTAAACTTCACCCCATTGCACAAGCAAGTGGCTATCAGGACTCAGTAGCTCATTGGATAACGCGATGGCATTTGAAGCAAAGATTACTGGGTTCGAGTCTCAGAGTGAACATCAACTCTGAGATGTAGATACATCCAGCTGACGAGTCCTAAGTAAGACGAAACATGCGTCCTGGATTTCACTGCTAACCACTATCTATCTTTGCTTATAAACAGAAAAAAACAGTTATTTAAACAAAAAAAGAAAGGTGATTTCATAACTTTTTCATTCGATTTACTTAGAAACAAGAAATTCGAAATCAAATAGTTTCTATGGTCATATCTGTTATGTAGTAGCAAAGACATAAGTACGGGTAACTTGCAGGACCTACTATTGGACTATCATTCTTATTGTATAACTATTCGGTAACTAGATTATCTAAGCTTTATTTTGACCTATTGATTACTACTATATGATTTACTGTCCCTATGTTATACTCAGTTTTATTGATTATTGTCTCCCACGCTTACAGCCTCATTTGGCCTGGTTTTGTACAAATATTATTTTCTATTTTATAGTATGATGTGGCCTGTCTGTCTGATATATAAACAAAGTATGCTTGAAATAAACGATTCGTATTGCCGAGGCTGCTATTGGTGTTTTGGACTCAAGTGGACGGGTTAGGCGGATAAGGGCCAATAAGGACGCTAGATTACTCATACTAACCGAACGTCATTGTCACAGTGTGAAGGTCGTAGAAGTCGTATTCTATTGGTGGACAATTTACGCGAATCACGTCCTTATTAAATTTGTAAGGTCATAACGAATCAGCGACGACCTTGATCGAGTCATAACAATTGGCTACCGCCTAGGTCAAAAACATAACCAATTGGCGACGGCTAGGTCAAGTCATAACAATATCAAATTATAGATCAGAGGGGGTTTTGTGGAGAATTTAGTATTTTCACACCGTTGGATGCCAGCTCAGTGGTCTATCGGTTAAGGGCTCCGGCTCGAGACTGGTAGGTCCTGGTTTCGAATCTCGCTCGCGAGAGCGGGTTCGTGGATGCGCACTGCTGAGGAGTCCCATAATAGGACGAAACGGCCATCCAGTGCTTCCAGGTTTTCGATGGTGGTCTAGCTTCAATTGACTCATGATTTCAACTGTGAAAATATCAAATTAATCAAAGTACATCTATCAAAATGATCTTAAAAAATTCATAAAACGTTTAGTAAAACAAAAAACAAACACATACATTAGTGATTGGTTCAATGTATAGAAACTTAAATTGTTTTTTTTTTAAAAAATACCCATATATCTAACTTTAATCATATCATATAATTATTGATTGTCATTGTAATATTACATTCCATTACCCTCATATAATGTATACTCTGTTAATCATATTTTATAAATAATCGTTAAAACAGAAACAAATTAAGTTGTGAAACATTAGAAATTCAGTTGTTGTTGTCATTATTGATTTTTTGTGTGTGTATTTTTCCTTTCTCTTTTTGTTGCTATGGGACAATTCATATTGTTACCTAATATTTCAATCAAATCATAATATGCAATCAATTATTAAAATACATTGGTCATACGTATTGTCCATGCATAATTTAATGATTTTCCATTATTATTTATAATTAAATCAGGTAAATTAATAATGACACCATTCATTGTAGTTTTATTCATTATTTGATAGGATAATTGAATACCAGTTAAACTACCATCTAATAAAGTAAATTGTGATAAATTTGGTTGAACACTAATTGATGCCAAATTTAATTGTCTTTTACAATTAGTTATTGATTTTTGATAGTTCATTGATGATAATAATGAGATTTTTGTTAAATCATCATTACAATCTTTATTTGGCCATTTTGTTAAATGTGCATATACTATAGATGGATTTTGTTTAATATATGATATTCTTTGAAGTAAATATATAAATGGCATTTTGATATATTCATTTATATCCTCACTATCCTTTACTGGTTTATAAGTATACCTATAATGTAAATAGAATTATGATTTTAGATTGGAACATTAATCATTAATTAGATTATAAGTAAAGATGGATAGTGGCTAGTAGTGGAATCCAAGATGCGAGTTTCGACCTATTTGGGACTCGTCAGCTGGATGTATCAACATCTCAGAGTTGATGTTCACTCTGGGACTCGAACCCAGTAATCTTTGCTTCAAATGCCATCGCGTTATCCAATGAGCTACTTAGTCCTGATAGCCACTTGCTTGTGCAATGGGGTGAAGTTTAAATTCACTTGGTATTGTTTGTTTGAATTTTCTCATTGATGTTTAGGACTGCAATTGATCAGTACCTGTTCACTCTGGGACTCGAACCCAGTAACGTTTGCTTCTAATGCCATCGCATTATACTCTTAGCGTTCGAAAAAGAGACTTAAATTTTCGAGTGATTACGTCTTCTAAGAAATTATGAATATGCGTTACGTGATTTTCATAAAAAGCTTTAAATAATGTTACAACATTAATAATCATGATCTTTGTAATTACCTTTTGCTTTTGAAGGGTATGATTATCTATTTAGTATGTTTATTGGGACATTTAACTCTGACAAATCCTGAACATGAAACTACAACTTGAATGAATGTACAGCAATCGGATGAAACTTTTGATTACAAGAAAATAAGAACATTATTTTTTTTTCAATACAAATCTCTAATAGATTAAACTAGACATCCTTTTCCCAGGTTTTTTTTGAAGCTCAAATGGGAGTTAGTTATGTCCCCTGAGAAATTGCCCAGGTCAGGTCTTCTCTGCCAGTACATAAAAAAACACTCATAATATTCCATTACATTATCTGTTACATCACACCTGTCGAAAATAATTAAAATGCTTACCAAACAAAATCATAATTTGGTTCTTTTTGAATTCTCCATGGTTGAGTAGCATAAATACCTTCACCATTTATAGACAACCATTCGCCTAATTGTAATAAACGTTCTTCATAAATAGGTGAAATTGTTCCCCATGAAGTTGGGCCAACATTAATGAGAATATTTCCACCAAAAGTAACAGTTTCAATGACTTCGGAAATAAGTTGCTTAAAAGTAAACATTGTTGAAGAATAAACTGTAGAATTAGGGAAAATTATGAGGTTGGTGCAATATCTAAAACTTCAATTTTTGCTATACCGCGTGCAACTTATACACTAGAATTCTTGAACCCTCAAAGTCGCAAGTTGAAGGACACAAGACGGATGGAAAGAAATCGTATTCTAACCAGTACCAAATATTGTGCAAAACACTCGAGTATTTATAAATTTAGTAAAAACGAAATAATCTTTACAATCATCCAATTCTCATGCAGTGGTTTTTAGCGTTTGTCCAATCAAGAAATTTCACGTTGAGATTCTGGAATGTTCTTCTAAACAATCGGCTCTTTCAGAGATTGTTTGAATTTACTGGGATCCGTCCCCAATATATCCTAACTTTGTTAGTACATATCCTAAATTATATCACATCAACATTTAATTTTAACGGCATTCCGTATAAATTCACTTATTATTGTTTGTTTGAATCTTCCCATTGATGTTTAGGACTGGTCAGTCTCTTAATGGCATATGTGCATACTGTGCATATTGCCTCGATATTGCCTTAATTCACAAGCATGATAAACGAAGACGGATAGTGGCCAGCAGTGGAATCCAGGACGCGCGTTTCGTCTTATTTGGGACTCGTCAGCTGAATGTATCTACATCTCAGAGTTGGTGTTCACTCTGGGACTGCAACCCAGTACCTTTCGCTTTAAAGGTACAGTAGCTGAGTGGATAACGCGATTGCGTTTAAAGCGAAGGGTACTAGTTTCGAGTCTCAGAGTGAACATCAACTTTGAGATGCAGGTACATCCAGCTGGAGAGCCCCAAATAGGACGAAACATGAGTGTTGGATTACACTGTTAGTCACTATCCATTTTTGCTTGTAAGGTATTTCGTATAGTTTTAATTTTAAGAATAATTTAGATTTTGTTTGTCATAGATCTTTTGTTTTGTTTTCTTACAGTCAAAATTATAAGTCAACCTAAGCTATTGTGAAAATACTACAATATGCACAAATCCCCACACTGACAACTATTGTTTTTATGTTTAACAAATAAAAAAACAACTAATTTTGAAAAAAATCATTCACAGACCTAACCTTCGCATGTAAAAGGAATTCGCACAACCGCTCTCATCACCTTGGTTACTTCTGAGTTTTTACATATTCTTAATATTCGTCTCTTGACTCTTACATAACTACTATAATACTTACCTTTAATCAAAATATTTTGTTAGTTCTTTTTATATATTATATAATGTATCAACTGTTTGATTTTTTCGAATAATTACTTTGGTTATTATAATTCTCTTTTTGTCCAATTACTCAATATTATTTTATAATCCATGTGACACTATATAATTATTACGTGACGCAACCACTCAGTGAGTGCTACTTTGCATTCTCGCTCTCTCGCGCGCACTAGCCTTTTCGTTTGAATTCGCTTGATGGGGTTGTGGCTTTATGATCTGAGCTATTTTATGATAAACTGTAATCGGCTCTTCTTGTTGCCTTGTGAATTCATACACCGTTGGGATTTATTTAATAACATTTATCAGGACGATGGCCCCTTAATGCGCTAGTACAGTCGAGAGTGGGGAGACTCCTCACTCCCTCACGAAATGCTCTCACATGGTGACGCACATATAGCCTCTGTCAGGGAAGTCTCAATCACTGCCTTCTTGTTGTGGGGGTGTTGTTTACGAAAATGAGACGACGAAGAGCGAATGTCCGGCGCTTTGACCACGTTGGTGGGCACGGAAAGTCCACCTAGGGGAATTGGAAAACCCTGATTCCAAATCAATGGTGCACATGGACTACAGTATTCTGAGGGAACAAACGGCGTATGATTCAATCGTTGGTCACCGGCTACCATGAGACTGCATCTCCTCACGATGCTCCACTGCCTTGTGGATCAGACCTTTAGGTCAAAGGCTCGAGTGTGGCCTCCTCAGAAAACCACCTACTTTAGTTTGATCACCTGGGGAGTATCACAGCCCTCACACAAATCAAATGAGATTTGTGTGGCGCATATATCTGGTGCTTCCTTGCTGTTATATCCCCTGGTGAATCATGAATGGTAAATCTGAGGTCTATTATGGACAAAGGTAATATGCCTAATTCCTATTGTATAGTTGTTAAATAAGTGACCTAACTGTATTCGTGTTTCTCTTACCGTAACCTTATTTTGACCTTTGAACTATTATTATTGATTACTTTCCCCCTATCCATAGCCACATTGGCCAATTACTGTACAAATGTTATTTTTCTATTTTTTGGTATAATTGGGTCTGTTTGGTTAGTATATATAACCCAGTGTGCTTGTGAATAATGATTCATATTTCCGAGGCTGTTATTTGTGTTCTGGACTCAACTGGCTGGGCTAGGCAGTTAGGAAGGACCGAATAGCAATCAAGACTGCTCGTACGTATTTTCCGTATCATTGCACGTTTCATATACTATAACGATTGTTATACGTTTATAACAATTGGCGACGGGGACAAAAGTGAAAAATGACGCTCCCTTCTGACCGCTTACAGTTGCTATTTGACCGACATTTGGAGTTCATGGTCAAACTACGCACACAGCTTCTGGATCACCAATGCTTTGCATACGCGTCGGAAGTGGATGGATTAATCAATGAATTTCACGCAGAACTGGAAAATGATCACAGCCTCCATGAATCCTCGACCAGCCGCAACTCAAACGAAACAGCAGTCTCTCAAGAGACGCCCGGTTGTCCAGCACTATCCATTTCAGAAACGTTCCCGGTAGTGGATTCAAACACCACTATCCCTGAATTAGCAGGTCCGAACAGTGATGCTCCCAGCTCTCAGCAACATGATGCCATGTCAAATGCTCATGAAATTGATGCAGTACCCGCCCACGAAGAAATGGGAAGCAAATCGAGCAGTATATTGAATACAGAGGCGCCAAATGAAATTATTCATGTTACGAAAAATTTTTCTAATGAATCTAATGATCAAAATTATCTAATTGTTCTGCCAGATCCCGATTATTTCGCTGATTCATATGTTCCTGTTCAAATCTCTTATAAAAATGTGAGAAAAATATCGAATGTATTAAATGATAATCAAGAATCCAATACAACTCTCATAGATACTGATTATCCTAATGATTCATTATCTACTAATGAGGTTCCGAGGGAATTCAAGGAAACTATTTCAGAAGAATCAAATGTTGGTGACCTCGAATCAAATGTCATCGATCCTCATGATCTCGTCAGTTCTAATGCATTCCCTGTTAAATGTGACAAACATATCGCATTAATAGTAACTTGGCTATATGAGGATCCAACAGTCTTTCGTGGGGGAGGGTGGATTCGAGAAATTTAAAATCCGGTTATCAACTCCGGATTTCTCAAAAAGGGGAGGTGTTATATCCCCTGGTGAATCATGAATGGTAAATCTGAGGTCTATTATGGACAAAGGTAATATGCCTAATTCCTATTGTATAGTTGTTAAATAAGTGACCTAACTGTATTCGTGTTTCTCTTACCGTAACCTTATTTTGACCTTTGAACTATTATTATTGATTACTTTCCCCCTATCCATAGCCACATTGGCCAATTACTGTACAAATGTTATTTTTCTATTTTTTGGTATAATTGGGTCTGTTTGGTTAGTATATATAACCCAGTGTGCTTGTGAATAATGATTCATATTTCCGAGGCTGTTATTTGTGTTCTGGACTCAACTGGCTGGGCTAGGCAGTTAGGAAGGACCGAATAGCAATCAAGACTGCTCGTACGTATTTTCCGTATCATTGCACGTTTCATATACTATAACGATTGTTATACGTTTATAACACTTGCACCAATATTTTTGTGTTTAAATAAAGAATGAATATCAGGACGATTGATATACATAGCCTAAGAAATTATCTTGAAGCTAATACATTACAGTATATCTGCTTTGTTTTGAATTTTAATAGAAATACATAAAAATCTCTTTCATTTGAGTTATATGGCTTCAAAGCATAATTCCTACTTGATCTCAGGATCAATGTGCTGATTTAACATCTCAGGCAAGTTAGTTACAATTTATGCACTAATCACTATTTTATGCTTCGGTTTCCATGACTTGTATCAATTGTTACATTTTTATTATTATTACTGATATGTACAAACAATTATCTAAATACAAGACATGTCACTCATTCCCTTCTGTAGACGTTATCTATGTTACAGCAAATGTAGTCGAGCGACAATGAACATAAATTCTTACTGTAACTTTGTGAGAACACAATAACTTTCTCTAACTATTGTCAATTACTTGAACTTAGAAGTAAACTAATAGAATGAAGCCTGACCTGAAGATTCTAAATTAAATCCTCTTTCCAATTCGTTAGTGTTTGGTACTAAAGTGTCTCGAAATGCAATTTAAGAGCTATTCAGTTTTTACTTCAATTCGGGAATTAGACTGATATCATGTTATCTTACTCCAGTTTTTATACATTCTGTTCCTCGCATCCGGAAGTTCACGAGAAATAAAATTTGCTTACACCATGATCTATAAATTCGATTTCTGTGAATAAACAAGAAAAAAAAATAATTTTATGAAAAGTTTTCACTTACTTCTGGTGTTAATATTTTATCTAAAGTTATTTCTCTTCTAAATCCCCATGAACAACAATCTAATGTCATACAATTTTCCCATTTGTGTTTTACTAATTTACCAGGATGAAAACGATCATCACATGAATAATAACCTCCATGTTTACATATGCATCCATCACCCCAACGATCATTTGTAACAACTGTATCTCTTACAGGTGATTCATTATATAACCATGCAAGAAATTGTGTTGAATTCCAATAAGTATCTGGGCCAGCATCACCATCAGACCATATTACTTCTGGTTTATAACGTAATACTAAATCATATAATTCTGGCATTGTTTTTTGTTCAACAAATGTCTATAAATTCAAACAATATAGATAAGGTTATAATTTATGAATTAAATGTAGAAAAGTATTCGTGTCTTGTATTTGAAGGTAGTAAATTGGAAATTCCAAACACAGATTTCATGATAGCTGTTGCATATCAGTAAGACATACTAGGAATCTGGTTGGAACTAATATTCCCTAGTGGATTCAATCTCGATTCACTCAGTTTCTCAATGTAAGAAATTACCACTGACCTAATCATGGTGGTGAGAGACATTTTATATGGTCAATATATTGGCAAATGATTGCTTACGGATTAGCGACCAAGGTCATATTTATCCAGTCTCGCTGATTATCTCCAATTGCCTAACCTCTCGCGATGTCAATGCACCAAGTTCAGTGGCCACATCTCAACTTGATAGGTAGAATTTGATCACTACTAAAGTACAAGATAAAAATGATATTAGCCACTATTCAGTGACCAATCAGTGTACTTTATAACAACCTGTAGGAAGTGAGTGACGGCCTGATTATCCTAGATTGTGAAACTGTATAATGTATATAACACTTGCTACTGGTCAGTGATCAGTCAATAGTGTAAAGTATTTAGAACTAAAAAATATATTTATGAATGTTAAAGGTTCGAAATTTTCGCAACGTTATCGATTTTCAGATAGTCATATTACATATGAACAGTTGATATAAATCATTAATCATTTGGGTCAAACATTCATCTATGCAGTAATCATAAGTATTCGAATTCCTTTATAAATATTAAGAATGAATTAACTTTACATATAATATATATTCATTCTTTTATCTATCTGCACACTGTCGACTGTTGCATATTTTAACCTCTTGTCTCACTAACCTTGGAAGACAAGCACATGCATGAAGAAACGCAGTTTTAGGACATTAATCAATGAACTTTGGTTCACAGACGCATTTGGTTAATCTTTCAAGCTTGATAGTAAGACTAAGTCCGACTAACCCTAGTTTTACATGAGAATTAACTTCGGTTAAGTATTTAAATAGTGTCCGTATATAAATTACTTAGAAAAATCATTTGTTTCCCTATGAAGTTATGACAATCCAGGAACAAAACTTAACTACTTAGTAACCGAAAAGGTTGAAATGATAAAATCGATAACTTCCAAATTCAATGTTAACAACTATTTTCTATTAATTTCAATTGATTACATTGATGTCACCTAATATGAATACTAATTACACTGAATATGATTATATAAGTGCAAATAAACAGAATAATATTTGATCAATAAAAGTGTGTAGACGATACATGAACAAATTTGTTTCAATACACTTGCAGAATAATTCATATTAAACCTCATATGGATAAGAGATACTCTTTGTCTTGAATTGATACCATTGAATACCTTGTAATACTAGCCTAAAAAATTTATTTCATTCTCGGAGTCTTCATAGGTACACATCTCAGATCTTACACAAGATTGAAACTAAAACCTTGAAGTCTTTCACCTAAAATGTTACATTTTAGTGGCCTTGGAATATCTGACTACATTTGTATCATATGAATGATTGTTATTGAACGATTGCTCTCGAAACACACATGTCACCAATCCTTGCATATAATTATCGACTTGACTCGCGTTAGTGAATGACAAAGTTAGATAAGCCGAATGCAAACATGATGTTTTCAATACGTATGTTTTATACAACCGTTGATCGGATAGTGAAGCAAAACGAAATGACGTGCAATGGAGAAGGTGAGTCAACTCCATTCAAACAAGCGTGCATCGATATTTATGGTCGAATAAAAATAATTTACAGACACATAATGAGTAGGGTCAGTCATTAGCACACATAACCATATAAAAAACAGTCAGAATTAATAAGCCACAGGTTAAAAATGCAGTTTGGGCAGATTGGTCTGTCCAGAGGTTAGAATAACTTAGGTGGGCTTGAAATCAGTGAGTGAGTTGAAATCAGGCTGTGAGTACAGTCGATCTGATACATAACTGAATCATAATTCAATATTGGTCGTAAAATACGGCTTAATTCACATACCAACATTCTTTTTCATTAGAATTTTGAGAATTTACCTCTAAGCACATACGTGCTTAGTTAGATTAGTTTTAGGGTGTCATTCACATTGGAGATAGTTCTGTTATGGGATAGACATTTACTGAAGATTTAATAAAAAACCAGGGATTAATAGATAGCCATTTTATCTCAATGAGAAATATCTCAGTAGTAAGCAAATAAAACGTTACTTCCGATCAAACATTTAAAATATAAATCCCATAACGAGTTCATATATCTACATCATTAAGTCGAAATTCAATAGTTTTAGTTAACTATTTGTATGCATTTTCTCAAAATTCATTAGGTAAATCCCACAATCTTAAAAATTTGTCTCAGAAGTACCTAGGAACTAAAAGTCTACAATGTTATATTAATTCGAATATATCCACTAAATAATAAAACAGGACGTAAATATAAACAAACGTTTACCCAATTATTAGACATGGAAATGTAACCTCATGTCAGTAAAGGGCCGTGAAGACTGTTAAGTTTTTATTGAGACCATGAATTTATCGATGTTAGACCACCAATGATAACCTGGAAGCACTGGAAGACCATTTTGTCCTAGTACAGGACTCCTCAGTAATGCGCATCCACGATCCTGCATGTGGGATAAAAACCCAAGACGTTAGGTCTTGCGCGTAAATGTTTAAAATATCCTCATGAGGGATATAATCTAGTAGTTTTCAATGGAAATCTGTCATCTTAACATTTTAATACTTTACACAAAATAACCAGTATTATTGAGCTGGATTTAAAAAAATCCAGAATCATTTGATGACAAACGAAAATAAATGAAGAATGAATCAACTCACTTGTGTTGTAAAGTTATTTGCTTTATCATGTAAATATAATGGATTAAACCATTCAAATAATGAATGATAGACACCAAATCTCAATTTAGTTCTTTTACGAATAGATGTAGCCAAATCACCGACTAAATCACGATTTGGACCAATATCCATTGAATTCCATTGCCATGAAGTAATAGACGGCCAATTACAAAAACCTTCATGGTGTTTCGCAGTAAGTACTACATAACGTGCCCCTGATTTCTGAAATAAATCAGCCCATTTATCAGGTTGAAAAAATTCCGCATGAAATTGTTTTGCAAAATTAGCATAGGCAAAATCTGGTTCATAATATTTACGCATATATTCCGGTATTTCAGGCATTGCTGTTTTATCACCTTGCCACATCCACCAGAACCATTCAGTCCTGTAGTGCGAGAGAGAAAGGAAAAGAAAATACTGAGAAAACCAATCAAAAGTCGCTAACAATGTGACGATATATCATTCACTGACTTTAGTTAGAGAATCATCACGAACAATAAATCGCTGTACAGTGAATTATTCCGAGTAAGAGTTATTCCAGCGGCGTAAACCCATGACTCCACAAAGGTCCGAAGTCAGGTCCTTCAGCCCAGAAAAGTGTGTTACGTGGGTTAGAATGGAGTGTCCTACATTTTCAGCTTAAATTAATTGGTGATTTAACATGGCCAACATCCAATTGTGTTATGGGAACTGGTGGAGTCTGCAGCCATGACTAAGGTACGTCAAGCATCACTGATGTTATTGGATGATCGTTATATTCCTAATTTAACTCAATTAAATCGAAAATGTAGATCTTTGGCTTTCACTTTATAGTTAAAGTTCAAGCCCTCACCTGGTGAACAGAAAGTCCAAACTTCAAACTTGTAGTAAGTATGCGCTACTAAACCATATACTGGTACGAAATAGGCATTTAATCCTTCCTGTTTTTCACCAGTATGACTAGTGTTCCAGGTAAATAATGCAAAGCAACTACTGATTAAAATCATCCGCACAAAGCCTTCCAATCAGATTCACAGGAGTATAACTCCTAAGATATATTTAGTACACTTAATTCCCTTTATTAACACGAAGATAGGAAGAACTAAGAATTGATCAGAGTAACATAAATTCATTTTACTTTGTTAGATTCTCATCAGCTACTTACAACCTGTAATATCAAAATTATTGTAACGTTTACATACTTATAACAATAAAATTAGACATGCATCATCATGGTGCAGTAATAGGATTAAAGGTATATAAATCGCGCTGTAATATGCGAGAGAAGATTCTCAACCACCAGACATAATCAAAAGAGATCAAGGCAATAAGATAATATATTGATTATGTAATGAAGGGGTTGAATAGAAAATCATATCATGTAAAAAAAATGAGTTGAGATCAGACGATTGAGAAGCCATGAAGTTAAAATAAGAGAGAGAGAGAGACAAAAGCTCAAGAATGGTGTAAAAAAACTGACAATAAAGTAACCATGGTAAAGAAAGATTTGCAACTGTTTCACATTGAGTAAATAAGTCCAGGCATTTAATGGCTATAGTTTCAGCGAATTTGAGATCAGTGGTATTGAATTATCAATTGATGATCCTGAAACGGTTTCAGTCTATCAACCTGATACCCTCTGTCACAGCGATGTTTTCAATTAGGGCTGTTAAAGGTATCTAATCTTATTTAATTGGGTCTTTTGGGAATCCAACGTACGTTTTTCTTTCTCTTCTACTGATATAACTGCTTTGACAGTTGCAAGTAAACTTGTTGACACAGTTGTCGGTAACATGAAACGGTTATCTAACGAATGTTGATTGAGGTAAATAACACATTGTTTTATAAATGACAGTAAACGTGGCTGCGCTTTAAGTTCTGATCAGTGTGCTTTTTATTTTACTGTTTATTTTCGCCATAATATCGTCAACTTTGAGTTCAATTTGAATGAAAAACCATTTTTCTTTGTCTACTGTGGTTTCTTCAGGCGTTTTGTCGTTACTTTTGCCACATCTCATAATGAACTCCTGTGAATACCTGTTTTTTCTTAGGAGTCTTTTAAACTTTCATTAATTCTGCTTCTTCAGATCCTTTAACTCAATTAACTATTAAATCGCAATGGTCCCCTACTAAAAAACACAAAACTATTTCAATTTACAAACCAAAGTGTTATAATTTATGAATGATTGTATTTAGTTATATGGTAATCTACATATTAGATCATCTTAGTAACAATTAACATCATGAAAAACCACGATTACTATCCTTCAGTGCTAAATGATCAATTAAAAACCACAAGTAGCATTAAAACCAGTTTGATCAATCGGTATAATTTGTTTTAGTCGTGTTTTTTTTAAAAATATTTTTAATGTCACACACTTGGAGTTACTCGACAAGTTGATATAAACATAGAGTTTCAAATTTCTCAGAAATTGTCAAGGTAACATGTCTGTTTGACGCTAGATTATCATATTTGTTGAATAATAAATTACTTGTCCGTATATTTTAGATCATCAAGGTTGAATTATATCTATCTATCTATCTATCTAACTATCTATCTACCTATCTATCTATCTATCTATCTATCTATCTATCTATCTATCTATCTATCCATCTATCTATCTATCTATCTATCTATCTATCTATCTAACTATCTATCCATCTATCTATCCATCTATATATATATATATATTCTGACGGTTACTTCATATTCATATTCAAGAATAGATTTAATTGAATAAATTATCTATAATTCAGTTGAACAAATAAATAGTTATCTGACCAGTTAGTTAGTGTTGTGAAGCTACAAATTTTACAATCTGAATAACTTTAGATTAATAAAAGTCATCATGTGTTTACTAGTAACCAACCTTAAAGGTTAATTACCAGAATTTCAATGAGAAACCATAGCCATTTAAGTTAAATTAAAGACAGACCATGATAATGTATAAAATTCGTATTATATATACTGAAGTTTGAGATGTTAAACCAATCATCTGACAATGAGGAGCTTTTAACAAAGTCTGGTTGTCATGGATTTCAGCTCAAGTAAGAAATAAGGTTCTTGGGTTCGATCCCGGTTGAGATTATGTATGGGTACTGCTGAAGAACCTAATACTAAGATGAGAAAGTTGTCTAATGCTTTCTGACTTTCAATGGTTTCTCAATTAATATCAGTCATTGACGTAAACTATAGAATTCGACAGTCTTCAAAACTCCGTATTTAAAAGAATACTTATAAGGCTACGAACTTAATATATTTTCATGGTTGAAATCATGGGTCAATTGAAGCTAGACCACCATAGAAAACCTGGAAGTACTGGACGGCTGTTTCATCCTATTGCGAGACTCCTCAGCAGTGCGCATCCACGATCCCACCCAGGTCACTAAAAACTTTGTGGATTGGTTGAAGTTAAACATCAACACTGTTGGATGTCGGCTCAGTGGTCTATCGGTTAAGTGCTCTGGCGTGAGACTGGTAGGTTCTAGACTCGAATCACGTCAGGCGGGATCGTCGATGAGGTTTCCCACAATAGGATGAGGTTGCCGTTCAGTTCTTCCAGGTTTTCATGGTAGTCTATCTTCAATTGACCCATGATTTCAACTATGAAAATACTGAAATCTCCACAAAAGCCCCTTCTGATCTTAATATATTATTTAATACTGTGTTGAGTAAGTGATAGACATACGAACATTCATACATTTAAGTGAATTTATTGAAACCAACTTAGTTATGCGATTTAGATTGATAAAATGACAATTACATTGTACTACTTACTATATGATTAAATAATTTTGATAATAACTAAACCAATAATTAAGTTACTAGATGTATCATTAATAGATTTAAATGGTATTGTAAATTTATGACTGTGTCAATCAGTAATCAGCTGATCTGAAGAAAAGCACTACTGAAAATAAAATGAATGAGTAATAAATGATTATTTTATCCTTTTTAAAATGATGTTCCATAATAAAACAAAAAAAACTGTGTTAAGAAGCCAGGGATTCGTCAACATATGTTTGGGGACAGTCACAATGATATGAATAATGTCACCATCTTGAAACATATGCTTGGGTAACTCGGATATATGCTACGAATGCACATCACGCGTTACATCTCAACCCTAGGACTGGTTGGGAAAAGAAGAGAGATCGTCAGTATATGAAATGCCGTCCTAGTATAAAAGAAAACTTTATAGAACTGGTATCGTTTGGTCCTCCGGTTAAAGTTCTAAAGATAGTGCAATATAGCATCCTGGGAAGTTATCAGATATGATTCAGTATAGAAGACAGTAGCTATCTTGCTGTAACTTTATTTTATTTTTTTTTATATAAATCAGCAGAAGTTTTGTTTGTTGATAAGTTTTTTTCTAGTTGTGTTCTTGCTAACTGAACTGAGCAAATAACACAATATCTATGTCTACCTGAGTTAGTTGTAACTATTCATCTGAAATCCATTTTAAAACTAACATTCAGATGAGTCAAAGACTTTTTTTTACTTATTGGACAGTTTAAATATTTTAATAACAATGTACATTACCATTGTTTTGAAACGCTTCAGTGTATTATACCATTTATAACACTTATGTATGAATACGGTAGTTGGGGCAAAATATTGGTGAAACCTAAAAGTATACACTTTGAATTAATAATTGTAGTTGTTGAAAGCGTTAGTCAATTGAAGCTTGACCACCAGGGAAAACGTGGAAGCATTGGACGGCCATTTCGTCCAATTGTGGGACTCCTCAGTAGTGCGCACCCACGACTTCGCCTCGCGAGATTCAAACCCAGGACCTACAAGTCTCGCGTCAGAGCAATTAAACGATGGACCACCGAGTCAACATCCGATGGTGTTTATGTTTAACTCCAACCAATCCACGAAGTTCAGAAACCGTTCACCAATTTTCCCATGTTTTCAACCATGAAAATACTAAATCTCCACAAAACTCCTTCTGAATTCTAGTTGTATTAATGTTTCTTCCTAATGTGATTCTTCGACATAACCACTATTCTTGATGTCATTATCAATGTTTACGTAAGTAACCATTACTACAAATGAACAAATGCATCATTACTCTGTGCACAGTTGAATCCTTCAGCTAAATACTTAAGTATTTTTTTTTGATTCACTAAAGTTAATTGACTTCGTATCCAAAATATGTATAAAATCTTAATTAAAAAACTGAGAAATTCATTGCGATTTACAGTCTATAATAGACACGACATACATTTCAAATTCTACTAACTAAGTTTACAACTAAAAAAACTTATTATTAAGCTTAGTTGAAAAGTAATTTATTAATGATGACTAGCTTGAAGAAAGATTTTCACCATCTTCTAAGAGTGGATTCTTCACTTCGATAGAATATTTTTGAAAGACTAAAAGACATAAGTAAACAGGTTTGTAGTTCAACGATGTTAGTCACCATAAAATTATGCATGAATTGTTAATCGTAAAAATGTTTCCTTTATTAAATAAATCCGAAAATTCTTCACAGTATTTCAGTCTGAATGAGTCCACGGTACTTTTCTTTTTAGAACTAAAATAAACGTATAACTTCCATTGATATGTTTCATAGTAAAAAGTTTTATTTAAATAAAATAGTTGCAATGATTGGGCATCGATCAATAGCCAGTATCGTATAACCTGTTCCGCAAAATATGATCCATGATCCCATTAAGAATCTAACCAAAGACATTCAATCCTCGCGAGGAGCACCGAACGTTTAGACTTCTGCCTTACCGTTCTATTGTTTATATTTCTTACTTCAGTCAATTTTCGATATTACGCCACCACTATACGTCACCATTTCAATAACTGTCTAACTAAAGTCAATTCGTACTCAAAAACTACAAAATCGAACGATGTGAACGAAACCTTAAGCTAAAAAATATTATTTATTGGAAAATTACTATTAAACATTTTACGCTAGTTTAGAGTTTACATGAAGGTATATTAATTAAAACTTATGAATAATTCCACAGTTGAATTCACGAGTCAATCTAAGCTGGACCACCATTGAACCATACTGATAATTATCACATGCTCACTAGTGACTAGCTTCAAGATGAATTTCCTGGAGTTCTAACGAGAAGCGTTAACCGGTGTAGTTCAATCCGTGTTGGGTAGATACAGTTATCCACATCAGACAATGGATGAAGAGTTACACAAGATCATTTATCGGTTGAAGTTAAACAGTAACACAGTCGGATGCCGGCTCAGTCGTCTAAAGTTCGAACGTACCCACGCGAATCCGAAGTTCTTGGGTTCGAGTTCTGTGTGCAGGACCGTGGATTTGCACTGCTGAGGAATCTTATATACTTCTACCTATGAACCATAATTGCAATATATTTATTTATTAGCATATTTGTGATATACATTGCCAATACATGTTTATAACAACTTCCAATCAACCTGATTAGTGTATTCATTTTTACAAAATATTATGCAACTGAGATGAACCTAACTATATACAATGAGTTAATGTTATTCTACTGTCCAAAACTTTATTTTTGTCTTTTTCAAGATAATAAAGGCAACTGTGCACATGATATTACTTATTAGTAGATTACTAGAAACTCATTCATATAAAATCAACACTGAATATAGTAAAAATTAGAAAAAAATCCTCTAACTGCCCTATCTGTTATAACTGCGGAGGAATAAATCAGGAGGAAGCGCTGGAAGTAGATAGGACACATATTGAGGAAATCACCTAACTGCGTCACAAGGCAAGCCCTCACATGAAATCCTGAAGGCGAAAGAGAAGAGGAAGACCAAAGAACACATTACTTCTAGAAATGGAGACAGACATGAGAAGATCGAAAAAAAATTGGATTGAACTAGAAAGGAAGTGGTAGGAAAAAGTGGGTTGGAGAATGCTGATCGGCGGCCTATGCTCGATTGAGAGTAACAGGGGTAAGTCAGTAAGTAAGTATCTGTTATAACCGGACGAAAAAATAAATAAATGTTAAATGCTAGAATGCATTCTTGTTGTATAACTATTAGGTAACTAATATATATATATATATATATATATATATATATATATTCATATTCTTTCTATTATAAGCTTTCATTTGACCTATTGACTACTTTTATACGATTTAATACTCTTAAGGTATTCTCAATCTATTCGTTACAGTATCTCACACTCACAGCCACTTTTGACCTGATCTTGTATAATTATTATTTTCTATTTTATGTTATGATGAAGTTCGATTTGCTTGTATATAGACTGAGTATAATTGCTATACATGATTCATATAGCGTAGGCTGATATTAGTATTCTGGATTCGAACGGAAAGGGCTAGATGAGAAGAACCAATAATAACTCAAATGTTGACGCTAGGCTGCTCGTAATGATTAATGCGTCAGTGATCTGATCATACAAATCGGTATTTCTGCTGTCATTTTAGTCACGTGATATATTAACTGGACATGAGAAAATAGCTCTGACCATGGCTACTTGTTTTTCACACCACAGTTAGAGGTATAATAAAATTTCATACTACTTTTTGAATGTATAAGAATTAGCAATGAAATTAATTATCCACGGTACATTATAACGTCTCCAACTCTATGACAAGTTGAATATAAACTAAAACAAATTTAGAGACTGACCAGTTGCAGTCCAAAAACATCAATAGGAAGATTCAAACAAACAATACTAAGTGGATTTAAACTGCACCCAGTTGCACAAGCAAGTGGCTATCAGGACTCAGTGGCCTAGTGGATAACGCGATGGCGTTTGAAGAGAAAGTTAATGGGTTCAAGTCTCAGAGTGAACATCAACTCTGAGATGCAGGTACATCCAGCTGACGAGTCCCAAATAGGACGAAACGCTCATCCTGGATTCCACTGCTATCCACCATCAATCTTTGCTTACAATACTTGTGAATTAAAGCTATATCGAGGCAATACACACAGTATGCATATATGCCAATAAGAGACTGACCAATTGCAGTCCAAAAACATCAATAGGAAGATTCAAACAAACAATACTAAGTGAATTAATATATATATATATATATATAAATACTTTCATTATTCAATATTTATATTTATAATTTCTATAAATTATACTTACCGATAACTAGGTACAGAAAATACACCCCAATGTATAAATATACCAATTTTAGCTTCATCATACCATTTAGGTAATGAACGTTTATCTAATGAATTCCAATTTGGTTCATATTTATTAGGTTGTTTTATTGATTTTGTATAGATAATACTACTTATTTCAATGATATAATATAGTAATATAAATTGAATAAATGAAAAAAAAGTTTTCATTATTTTATAATAGTAATTTGATAGTCTATTACAATATTCATTATGTTATTTCATATTTATTGTATAGAATATGGTACTAATGTAACCAATACAAACGAATACAAATATTTAATTAGAGATTGGATAATATTGTATTGACCTTGTTTATTATTGTTACAATAAAATTAATTGAATATGATGAAGATAATTATGTATCCATGTGATGTTAAGTTAGTTATATTCTTAACGATTATTGAATATTATTAGAATAGAGTTTTCCTGTGGAGATTTTAGTAACTGTATAGTTAAATTCATGAGTCAATTGAAACTAGATGAATATGGAAAATCTGAAAGTACTGGACGATTATTTCATCCTATTGTGGGACTCCTCAGCAGTACGCGTCCATTACACGAGCATGACTAGTAAAGACCAACCATATCTGTTGTGATATAGTTATTCACTGAAGACAATGAAAGGCTGTGGCTCAATTTCATGAATTGGTTGACGTGAGACATTAATGTTATGACTTGATCAAGGTCGTCGTCAATTTGTTATGGCTTTACAAAATAATCAAAGGATATATCCTAATTCGTTATCGATTTTAGGTCCGGCTTCTATCACGTGAATTATCCACCAATGGAATTACGACTTTTACGACCTTAACACTGTGCACATCAATGACGTTCGTTTAGTATGAGTAATCTAGCGTTCTTATTGGTCCTTTATCCGCCTAGCCCTTCCACTTTAGTCCAGAATATCAATGACAGCTTCTGCTATGCGAATCATTTATTTCAAACATACTCTGTTTATATATCAGACATACAGAACACATCACATCATAAAATAGAAAATAATATTTGTACAAAATCAAGCCAAATGTGGTTGTGAGCATGGCAGACAGTAATCAATAAATTGAGTATAATTTAGGAATAGTAAATTGTATAACAATTCATAATAGGTCAAAATGAAGTTTATAATAAGATGAATATAGATATACATAATCTAGTTACTGAATAGTTATACAATAGGAATATACATAGAATAATAGTCCAATAATAGGTCCCGTAAGTTATCTCTACTTACTTCTGTCTTAGGATGTAACAATTAACACCGTTGGATGCCGGCTCAGTGGTCTAGAGGTTAAGCGTTCGTGCTCGAGACTGATAGGTCCTCGTTTTGAATCTCGAAAGGCGGGATTGTAGATGCGCACTGCTTAGGAGTCACACAATAGGATGAGGTTGCCGTACTGTGTTTCCAGGCTTTCCATGTCGGTCTAACTTCGATTGACTCATGAATTCAACTATAAAGTTATTGAATAATATATTATAAATTGTGCTTTTAACTGAGCATTTTAATAAACTGAATATTTTCGTTAATTAAAACAAAACATTATACCAGTGTTATGAGTGCTATTGATGTCGACAGATAACAGTTGTATGTATCATCAATCAAAAAGGAAATGCTCGAAGGCAGAAAGTTAAGAAGACCAAAGAAAAGAGAATGAGAACAAAGAGTGATTGGTGTGATAAGATAAGAATAAAAATAACTAGGGTAATATGCGATGCGAGAGAACAAATAATAGTAAAATTATCAGTACAGAGTTTTATGAGATCATAGGATTTTCGTAGATTTTATATTACGAATTGATCTTAGTATGACTACCATTGAATACCTGGAAGCACTGGACGTCCGTTTTGTCATAATTTGAGACTTGTGAGTAGGAGGCATCAGAAATCGAACTCAAGATCTATGATTTTGCGCGTAAAACGGGTTTATAATCCTTAAAGGTTTCCAACGGTGATCTAATTAACATCAGTTTGTGATATAAAATCCATGAAAATAATGTAATGACAAATCATACTAAATGTTCACTGGAGTGCCATACGGTGTATGAAGTGATATGAATTCAGTTAAAAATAATGATTTGCAGTGAGTACTAACTAAAGCGCTCGTGTGAACGAAACATCAATAGAGATGTTGCAACAATGAGAATAATAACACCGACAATGATATTTGAATAACTTTGATTTCACTTTGAGAAAATACATAAGCGGACAAATTCCTATGTGTATTAGTCAAACTAGCCTATTTCATAATTAGGATTATCACTGATTTAGTGGCCACAATGTAACAGATTAAACCTATTTCGTTAGAACACATAAGTCCTGTTCCTTAATCCGAATGGTTCCTGTTTCTTCCGTTCGGAGAACGTGTAAGTCTGACTGAATTGAGTAGAAAATTACCGACCCGATGAATGATCAGAAATTCTTGACTATGATCAGTTTGCATCAAATAAGATAATATTGAGATGGTTTCCGTGTTCACGGCCTCATTGCTCAGCCATGATGGAAGGTATTCATGAGTATGAGCTTTGAACGATAAGACTTGCTTCATAAGAGCATAGAACTTATAAACACTGAACAAAATTTATATGTTTAAGGTTGTGGAGATTGTTGAGTTTTAATTGAGATCATGAACTGATCGATTTTAGACCATCATTGAAAACCTTGAAGTACTGAACTGCCGTTTTAGTATGGGACTCTTCAGTAGTGCGCATCCACGATCGTTTATTGTTATTAAGTGTACCTAATGATGTTTATGGATATGGTCGAATGAACATCAGTGAGTGATACAAATCCAACTTGTGAATATTGAAACACAATACCATGTTTCGAATTTCTAAGTATCCATTAAAATAACAATCGAGAGAATCACTTGAGTGTTTAGCTATATGAAAAATAAGATAATACTCGAATATCAACTTAAGTTTATTTTGATGGTATTACACTAACTGACAAAAAACGTTTCGCATGTAGTGTCGATCTCTTTATCCATCGCAATCAAATCATACAGTTTATGGCTAATTTGAGTGATTATAGGCAACCGTTGTAAATCTTGGATCAAAATTTAGTTTTAGTTGAAAATCGTCAGCAAGTTTTGCCAGAAATTCTGGAGAAATTAATACTTCCTGTAGGATTTGGACCCGCGTTAATCAGTTTCATAGTCAAAAGCAGTGCCATTTTAGTACAAATGACTTTCTGTACGACTGAGGTGTTGACGTTGATCAATGCGTGGAATTTAATATCATCTTCGCTCCACAGTGCTTATAGGTACGTCTGTCGGCTTACTGAAGAGTACTAGACAAATTCCTTAAACTTTAAGGTCCTTTTATTTACTTATCATTCCTCTCTTTCTATATTATAAACATGAATCGGAGATACAAAAACTTCCGAAAGTTAGGTTCAATACATTGATATTTTTACATTTAATTGGTTCGTGAAGATGTAAACAGTTTTTCTTATCTTTACGAACATGTATCATTTAATCAATTAAATAATCAGCTCACTCTTACTAAATAACATATCAGTAGTACTGATCTAAATGAAATTCAATCGAAGAACTTCTTATCTTGTGATGATGACCAAAAACAATGTTCAATTAATAAATAAAAATAAAATGTCTCATAAGCAAAGTTGGATGGTGGCTAGCAGTGGAATCTAGGACGCGCGTTTTTTCTAATTTGAGACTCGTCATAATTTTAATCTTATGCTGATTCCTACAAAATGAAAAGTTTCTTCAACTTGAAGGGAAGTCTGGATGTAAAAATTCTGAATACAAGTGATTTACTGTAAATAAATATGTTATCTGAAGATTATTCAAAAACTCTCATTTAAAACACTTTAACTAAATGAACTTCTTTATTCCGAACATGTAAAATCAGTAGCCTAATATCAATGACAACAAGTGACAATTATGAAATCTGATCAATTTAACAAATTTGTTTCTATTTCAAAAACGTTTAAAGCTTTCAATCGACTCATGATTTCAACTATAAAATCACTGAAATCTCCACAAAAGCCCCTTCTGATAATAATTAATATACTCACTAGTGACTGACTTCAAGAGATATTTCCTGGAGTTCCAGTGAGAAGCAGTGATCAGTGGTTTTCAACAAGGTCTGTTGTGAGATATCAACTCAATGAAGACAATGGTGAACGGTTGCTCAACTTTGTGGATCAGTTAAAGTTAAACATTGACACTGTTGGATGCCACCTCAGTGGTCTATTGGTTAAGCGCTAGCGCGCGAGACTGATAGGTCCATGAATTAAAGTCATATACTTGGTCAATGTAATCTTGAATTTTACATTCCTCTGGAAGTTCCCTCAAGTGATTACTTCTTAATAGTATAACAACGATCTTTAGAAAACGACTGAATCAAACTTACTAAAATTATCATCAACCATCATTTTGAAGTGTTTCAAAATGAAATGAGAATTAGTTCAATTTGCAATAATTTTAATTATCCCATTGTCGATATTCTGAATGAATTTCGATTAGTCTCAGTTGGTATATGTACATCCTATATAGATTCCCTCTATAAAATCATAGTTTAACAAGCTTATATTAGAGTACGCGAACTTTAAGCAGTAGTGAAATGTAAGACACATGTTTTATCCTTAGATGCAGGTACATACATTTGACAAGTCCCAACCAAATAGGATAAAATGCCTATCCTAGATTCTACTGCTACCCACAGTTCATATATTCTGTATGAGATGAGAATGAATATGATGAGTGAACAAACTAATTATTCCTTAATTTTGTTTACAATCATATGATGAGGTTTATTATTTGCTTCATTCCATAGGTTTGTTTCAAGAAAATTGTTTACTCCATACTTTGAAATAGTATAGTAAAGTCTTCAAAATAACTTCAACTAATGAGTCAAGTTATTTCATTGGTATTATTGAATAGAAATATGTATACAATTTACAATTCCATTTAATTAAATAATTACAAGGTTACAGATTGTTATATGAACTTATTATAAGACATTTAGTTAACACTGAATATTGGAAAAAAACAACAACAATGGTTTCTAATAATGATTAGATGCCATGACAACAATATATAGTTTCAAATACATATGTGGTCTCATAGCTGTAGAGAAGATAAGAGATTATATAGGATAAAAGCTTTTTTTTGTTCTGTTCGCTGTTATTTGTTGTTCTCTTACCAACTAGATAAGTTTAAATCTAGTTTGAAGATTTTTGT